CGTCTCCAGCTCCATTTGTTGGCATGTTTCTTCAAATTTAATGTCTCCTTATAGTACTTCAATACCAATTCATCCCTTGGTGTAGAAATCCCATCAACCTTCTCCTTAATAAGTTTTTTATAAATGTGTTCTGGAAAAAAAAAGATAATTAGTCATTTTGAATAATAAAATAAATCAAATAACAAGTAAAGAGACATAAATAATTTGAACTAAGCAAATTGGTCTAATGACGTATACATTAGATTATTTTATAGGTTTTAACAGAAGAAGAATGACACATTTTTAGTAAATGGAATCAAACACCAAAAGATTAAAAACACCAACGAGTATACTACTAAATTTTTATTGAACATTTAGGCTATAATGTATGAACAAAGAAGATATTTTGGGAGGCTTTCATACCATCTAAACTCACACGAGTTCTATGTTTTTGTAAACTTTTTGACTTTGGATAATGAAAGGGTGAAAATTGTTTATTTAGAAAATCAATAACCATGTTTTTGGTTCACATGGATATCTTAAGGATGTACTTCAATTCGTGGGTATACCTTGGGAATGTTATTGGCCAAACATTCCATTTTAAACAACTTTCCAGAATAAAAAGTCAGCACCATTCCATACCCCATCATATAGAGAAACTTCTTTTAATTTTGGACAGAAGTATATAATTAGTCAGATAGCATATTCTCAAACATATTAAAGAAAGACACAATATATAATATGCCCTTTAACTTAGCTTGAGGTGGCATCTACACCCTTTAATTTTTTGTTTGCACAAGTAAACACTTAAACTTGTATAAAGTTGAATAAACTTGTAAACACGTTTTGCGTGATATAATACACATAGGACACCATGTATGATGATGTGTAGGATGCGAATTGCTATGTAGGACGCCAAGTAAGACGCATGTGTTTACTTGTTCAACTCTATATAAGTTGAAGTGTCTGTTTGTGCACAACCAAAGTTGAAGGGTGTAGACGCAAAATGAAGCCAAGTTAAAGGCATGTTTATGTATTATTCCATAAAGAAAATAACTATTGTCACTTCTAGTTCCTACTAATTACCGAATAAGGACTAGAATAACAAGTACTTCCATTAAGTAAAAACATAGTATTATCAATATATCACCAAAACCAAAGCACATCAAAATAAAGCTTAGCAGAGATGCAAATCAAAAAATTTATGTAGTGGCAATCAATATTAACTCCTAAATAAATTGAACCATAACCTAAGTCCTTGAAATGAGAAACACAAGTGACAATCAATCCAAATCTAAAAACAAAAGTCAACACCATTCATTCTGCAACTCATATTAATTTTAATTTAGTTTACTTTTCTACATCCTTATTAGGAACACTAAATGCTTACCAAGCCCTACATTAACTAACATAATTACTACATAAAATCTATACAACAAAGAAACAAGTTAAATAGCATAATTACTACATAAAATCTATACAACAAAGAAACAAGTTAAAGAAGTACAAGGATACTATGAGCACAAGAAACGAAAAAATTCTATGATATTTGATCAAACATTTTATAATGAAGCAGTAATTCAACAATAAATAATTTAAATACACCAAGAAACAAACCTTAAATATTGTTAGGCCACGACTCCAATGCTCCTTGACATATGCTCCCATTCTTGTTTATGTTTGGATTGAGGAAAACCTTTTGTCCTAAATCCTTAGTTGCACGGACTCTTCACTTTTGATGTTGCACCATATCAGATTCTCCAAAAATACTCTACTATTTGTTTCTGTTCAAGAAGTCCAATTTGCAAGCCTGACATGAGGCTAGGGAGATTCGAGAAATATTGAACATCACTAAAAGACTTGGCTACATCGTAGTATAGCACATAAAAGAACTATATAAGATAGAATCAAACATATAATAGAGAAATTGAAGAAAAGTGCCACTAGATGGGGATTCACAGTTACTTTAATTAGCTTAAGATAAATAAATCCACCAATAATTTGTCAATGCACATTTTTATAATTTAACAATCAAAAGTTTTGGAGAGAACAAACCATCTAAAATTCAACCTAATATACAAATCACCATAACCAATTTACAAATCATCTGCAAACACAAGATAAAAAAATATTCTTCAGTACGTTAAAGGAAAGAAAAATTGTTTTAACACAATTCAATAGCATAACTTCTTCATATAAGTAGCAGCATGTCCCATAGCAAATGCAAAACTTTTTCATTTCATAATTAATTATCTGCAACAACATATGATTAGGTTTAGACAGAGAGTTATGAATAGAAAAGATTAGTGAGTTGGAATGATTTAGAAATTGGTACACCAAATTCCTTGAGATAAAACGTTACTGATACTCATTGACAAGCAGAATGTCAAGGTCTGCTTTGCTCTAGTTCTCCAGTACGCACCATTTAAATCTATTTGACCATATACAATCCCTAATTGCAAAATTAATAGAATTTTTCTTACAGAATATAATGGAGCGTGTTGTGAATCCTGGACCGATTGATCGTACACTTCTTCTTTCTCAGCATGAGCATAAATCAGAATTGTTATGGAAAGGTAAGATATCATTTACTTGCCTTATGAGGATGGTGCGCATGAATGATGCCTGGAATTTATTTCGTTTGCATCGACCTCATGGACGTGTTGAGAAGATCTTACGTAGGTCAGGACTGTATGATGTAGTTTGTGTGGGCAGGATGCAGTATGACCATGCCCTTGTTACAACTATGGTTGAGCGTTGGAGGCCAGAGACTCATTGCTTCCATTTACCTTTTGGTGAGGTCACGATTACATTACAGGATGTGCAGGTCTTGTTTGGTTTGTGCATCGATGGTGATGTTGTGTACATGCAGGATGCTACACGGAGGATTCATCCATGGCGTACTTTATTAGAGACACTCACAGGATGCACCATAACACCTGCTGATATGGATGGTGCGAGCCGAGCCGGGTGAGGATACATAACATTACCGGCTACTTGCGAGATCAGTTACAAGTAGATCTGATAGAAGATTCTACTCCAGTGGAGCGGGTTGAGAAAATTTCTAGACTTTACATGCTTGTTATATTGGGGGGCATCTTATTTCCGAACACATCGGGGAACCTTATTAGCTTACAATACTTGGCGTTCCTAGATCCCATCCACGACGTAGGTAAGTATAGTTGGGGCAATGCAGTGTTGGCCTACTTGTACCGTGCACTTTGTCGGGCATCTATCGGTAATGTGGTTGACATTTGCGGATTTATTCCTCTCCTTCAGGTAACTTTACTAAAGTTTTAAAATACATTCAAATACAAAGAATCTTTTAACATTATACTGTACAAGAATATTTTTTCTATATTCAATTTTTTAAAATACTTAAATTAGATACAAATAATTTCTAAAAATTATTAAAAATAGATATATGTAATTGTTAATTTTTTTTTGTTAATGATGATAGTTTAATTATTTTGTTTGTCACATTAAGGTTTGGTGTTGGGAGAGGATCTTGCCTGTACAACCATCAGCTCCTCCGCCGCATGATGGTGATGTATTACTTCCATATGCTAGGTGATGGACGCGTGGAATTGATAGGGATACTGAGTTACATCATGTTCTTATCCCGATTAGAGATCAGCTAGACCGCATAACGAAGGATCAGGTACATCGAATAATTTTTGTAACTCTTTACTAGTTTTTTTAAAAAAATATATATAATCTACATATAAAAGTAAATTATTTAAAAGTAAATCAATAATAATTTTATTTATATACTAAACGTTTAACGTTGATTTTATCTAATTGTTATATTTTAAAAATAGTTTCGATGGACATCGTATAATGAGATTTTACATACACTGCCTCATTGTTGTACGATCGATGAGCCTTTATGGATGGCATGCGTGCCTATGATTTGCCTAGAGATTGTTGAGGTGCACGCACCTGATAGAGTGATGCGTCAGTTTGGTCGTCCCCAACATATACCTGCGATTCCTAGTTGGGGAACCAACCACCACGTGCATGATCAGCGTAGGAGGCTTGGATCGGAGGTTCTTGAAATGTTGGATAAATATTTTCGTGATTGGGGTAATCGACATCAGAGTTTAGTGGTTGAGGTAGATGATGGTACTAGAGGGGCAGGGTATAAATTGTGGTACATGCGGTACGGAAGGTTGCTTATAGGTAAGCCTGCATTAGAGGTTGATGTACCGTCAGGCTTTGTTCATTCTGCTGGTACTAGGATTGCGATTTCTAGAGGATTATTTAAGTTGCACGGTCTTGCATTACAGTGGCAGAGAGACACAACCTTAGCTTCACATGGTGAAGAGGTATCTCATATTGTTAGGGATACATTGCTTGAGACCGGAATATAATTTAGAGAGCCATTTTTTTAGGGAGATCCTTTGTTTGAACATATACGTGCCAGAGGACCAGACGTGGACGTGTAGATGGACGAGGACGTGGGGGGCATAGAGGTAGAGCACGAAGACGTGCTCTAGGACGTGGCGCCGGTGGTATTCCTATTCATCCAAACATAGAGGCAGAGGCGGGAGTAGAGGCCGATGATTTGCATATCCATCAATTTGGCACATCAGACATCATGAATTTATTAGATATGTCATTTGGAGATTATATACCTGATATGGCGGTAAGCATTAACAATTTAATATAAACTTAAAACATTAATAACTAATATAAATATTTCAAAATAACTATTTATATATTTTTGTAGGGCACATCTGGTACTGCCCAGAGTAGGCTTTTTTGTAGCTACGCACGCTAAATTCTGGTGCCATATGGTCCCATTCTTGATACCCAATTTGGTCAAATCCCTTTATTGCATGAGAAAATAGAATGTGGTATGATTGCCATTTACCACATTGACATTTTCCTTGTGATGCATTTACAATGAGCTTATTACCACCACTGCCATAATGCATATGTGTCTGCACCTCAAATATGTTTTCCATTTGTTGGTGATAGTTGATAACTGTGTGACGCTGTGACTTTTTTCGATTATCCTAAAAAATCTTGAATGGTTTAGGCATCCATTGTTGCTTTTGTTGTACTAGCTGATTGACAAATTTTGATCTTGTAACAAATCGGTTCACAATCTGATTGTAAGTGAGTCTTACCATTGCAGTAACTGGCAGGCCCCTGGCTGACTTAAGAAGACCATTGAATGACTCGGAACTGTTTGTTGTCAACATGCCCCATCTCCTACCTCCATCCCTGTGCAATGTCCATTTGTTAAGATCGTTCTTCATTAACCACACATACGCTTCCGGGTTAATCTCCTTGATCATCTCCATTTTTTCCAAAACCTTTTTCTCCTTACAGTGATTTGCAGCTTCCCATAAAAGGTTGTTTAAAATGACATTTTTGAATTTTTTTTGAAAATTGGCCTTCAAATGTCTTAAACAAAAACGATGGAACCCAAATGGGGCCTGCCAATTGGGAGAATTATACACGGATGAGAGTATTCTGTGATGCCTATCTGAAATCAATGCCACACCTCGACGACCCTTGACAAAGTGCAAGTGCAAATGATCCAAAAATAAACTCCATGTCTCCATGCTCTCATTCGCAACTATTGCAAATGCCAAAGGTAATATTGAGCCGTTACCATCCGTTGCAATCGCAATCAACAGCTTGATATCATATTTTCCATAGACATGTGTTCTGTCGATCGATATAACAGGACGACAAAACACAAACCCATCAATGCATGGTTTAAAATTCCAGAACACATAGTTGAATACATCTTCAATGACATCGACACGTCGCTCTGTTTCCCATTCAACTATTGTTCCGGGATTGAAGTGTTTCAAAGCTTCGATGAACCTCGGCAACTCGGAAAAAGAACCCTCCCAAGTACCATAGACTTTTTCAAAAGCACGCTTGCGACCAAGATATGCTTTTCTTCTGCTTATCGAAATGCCATATGCTTTAAGAACCGTTGTTTGATAGTCTTTGATGGGAAACCTGAAAAGTAAAAATAATATTAATTATCAAATAAAAATTGAATATTTTCTTATTAAAGAAAAACCATCTAAGGATAAAATAGTACCTCGGCGTTTTTTCTATATCAACACGAAGGACGTTAGTAATCATCTCAACATCCAAGTTGAAATGTCCATCGCGGCACGTACCCATATCACATGTATGTTCTTTAATGTATCTTCCAACTTTCCACATGTTAGTATGTTTATCATTAAAAGGAGTTAGCCTAAATTGACATCCTTGTTCTACACGCCTGCAAACAAGTCGCCATGATTTCTTTGTCGATTTAATAACAAAGTACTCCCTCGCTATCTTTAAATGTAGAAGCTTAACTGCTCTTTGCAACTGCTTCTTTGAATTGAACAACATGCCTTTTTCAATATAAATAGCACCATTCATGAAATCTTCCGGTTCACCCCATGTATGTTGTGATGTATATTCATCATATGTATCGCCAAAGATATCTGGACCATCTTGGAGATGATCCAGATAAGGAATTTCATGATTACAAAAAGGACTCATGGACATTGGTCTTGGCGACCGATTGGGCATTAAAAAATCATCATCACTAGATGATACCTCAAATGGAACATTATCTCCTGATTCCTCGGCATTAGGCAAATCATCAGTATCACTAGCTGAAGGTGAGCCGTAATTTGGAAGGTCACGATCATCGATATTTACAGGATCAATGGGCTCATCTTGTGTGATATTTTCCCTATATATGTAAAAAAGTATAAATATTTGTCTCATGCAATTAACTTACTTAAATAAAAAATCAAGTGTTGGACATACCGACAATCATCTACATCAAAAGTAGGCGAGACATGAAAATTTGAGGATGTCCCGATATTTACCGTCATTTGAAAGTGTGAGGACTGACCAAAATAATTATCTAGTCCATAACTTGAAGCAATATTCCTATCTTGCTGAGGTAAACCGCTACAAAATATATAATAATAATAATAATAAGAAGAATAATAAATCATATAAATTAATAAATAATTGACAAAATCAACAAATAATAATCGAAATATAATTATTGAGCATTACCAGTCACTTTCATTGATAGTTTCGTTCAAATCAACATCATATCGACCGGTAAGAATATTTTGATAATGAGTCATGTTAGAAAAATCAGTAGATTGAGTTATCGGAAATCTATCAACGCTATTACGATTTTCTAATCGGGGATGGACATCGACCGATAAAGGAGAATGTTGTTGACTAATCTTAGGCTCCTTCCTAACATAGATTTCAAGTATTGTTAACTTGATTTGATCTATGAAGTCATTTGGAACCCTCAAAAAGTCGGTCAACGATTCGTCATTATAGATAATCCACTCTCCAAAATTTACTTGTCCTTGTGATAAAAATGAAGTAGGGTATTTTCCAACTATAATCAAATTATAATCAGTACTATTTATACCCATTCTTTTATAAATTGATGAAAGAAATTTATGATAGCGGACATTAATTGAATATTTAGCATTGTGTTTGGGAGGACAATTATAATAAACGGTATTTTCGTCATGTATAATTTCGCCATCCCAATAAATTGAAACTCTAACTTTTGGTTTAGAAGACATTTTTTTTTTGAGATTGAAATGAACAAATATAGAAGACTTTATGTTGTAGGTGCTATCAACTATGTTTGAACATCCTCCTTAAATAGAGATTGGAGGATTTCAGAATAAAAAAATAAAAATACATAGTGGAATAACTTTTTCCGTTTTTATGATATGTCAAATCAATATAATTGATTGTATGACACAAACACTGCAAAAAAAAAGATAAAGAGATGGGAAAAATATTCCTCTTTGTAAAGTGGAATTTTTTCTTCCACTTTATAAAGTGTAAGAAAAAGTTCCACTTTACAAAGTGTAAGTTATAGTTCCATTTTATAAAGTATAGGAAATAGTTCCGTTATATATTAAAATATATATGTTATGGGACTAACGGAAAACGTTTAGAATATTAGATCAAGTGGAAATTTTTCTTCCACTAAGCCTATTTTAGTTACTACCTAAAGTTGTGGCTTATTTTGATCACTTTTATGTTTTTGTGGCTTATTTAGGTTCTCACCTCGTAATGGTCTTTGTTTAATTTTATGAGTGTGTGTTTTGATTTTGTTTTCGGGGGCTGTGGGGTTAAATTTGAGAAGTTGGGTTGAAAGTAGGCACGTTTTGTCATTTGGCGAGCTAGGTCAAGATCGCCGAACCACACGGCGGTTCGCCGAAGTTCCCCTTATCGCCTTTAATTTCGTGCTAAATGTGAAGTTTGGTTCTGTAACTTTCGGTGAGAAGTCTGAGGTTGACGAATGCACTTGGCGACTCGCCGAAAGTCCTTCCTGATTGCCCTTTGTCTGCGCCCCTATCCCTTTTAGCACCGTAACTTTTGGCGGGCCAATCCTTGCTTGCCGAATGCTGTCGGCGATTCACCGAAAGGCCCTTCCCATTGCTGACATTCCAAATTTTCTGAAATTTTTGAGCCAATCCTTTCGGATAGCCCGATCTAGCTGGCCAAAGAGATTCGGCTACTCGCTGACTAGTTCAGCGAGTCTGTCTGCAACTACTTTTATATGCTTTTGCTTGAATTGTTTCTAACTCTTTTTGATGTTTCTGCAGACATTGGCTAGACCAAAAGTTGCTGGTAGAGACATGCTGCCCCGTAAGAGGGCCAAAGGGATAACTATCAATGAGGATGTAGCTGCATCCAGGGGCAAGGCTACCAAACTTCCCACAACTGGTGGGAAACGAAAGGCCAAAGGAAAGGCACCTGCATCATCGGAGGCTAGCTCTAACAGTGACGGTATCTACGCCACTCACCTCACTACTTCTGAGAGTGATGGTGAGCACCAGGAGCATCAGGTTGTAGCGTCTGAGCTTGAGGATGATGAATTGTTAGCAACACAGAGGGCTGAGCTACGATCCAAAAGGATGAACGATCCATGAAGGATCAGGACTCTTCAGGCCACCACTACTCCTCATCCAGATCTAGCACAGGTCGTGGTCTAGCACCACCAGTACAGGGTCTTCCTCCCAAGTCTATGAATAGACTAAAGACTGAGGGACTGATGACAATTATCGAGGAGTAGCGTCTGTCTACTGATGGGGTCATTGACAGATACCTAGAGATTAAGAGCTTCCTGAGGTCACATAAATTCCAGATCTTCACCAATCCCCGTGATCCATACATTCCAAGCTGGGTCAGAGAGTTCTACAGTGCATTGATACCACAAGGGAAGAAGCCGACACCTAAATTCAAGCCGGTTGACTACGTAGTTGTCAGGGGGAAGAGGGTGTAGTGTGATTCTACTGCCAGCAATACTGTCCTAGAATGCACTACAAGACTTGAGGATGACTGTCAATACAAGATCAGGACGCTGGAGAACATGAAGAAGTGGTTGGCTCCATTGATATCAAACGGCACTCCTAAGTGGCTTGAAGTTGGGGTAGCTATTGAAAAGAAGGACCTTAATGTGGAAGCGAGGTATTGGTTTGGCTTAATCAACAACATGATCATGCCCTCCCAAAACAAGTCTATTCTCCTCCACGCCAAAGCAGCCCTCCTAGGCTGCCTCATTGCGGGGGCAAGGCTGAACTTAGCGACGATCATTGCATCGGAGATGCTCATGCGGACCAAACAGTGCTAGACTTCCCTCCCCTTCTGGGTGTTGATCACCGAGTTGTGCAGACGGGCTCAGGTTCCCAAAGATGCGAAGAAGGATGTGGAAGTGATTCCCACATCCTCTATTGATATCCGGAGAATCGAGGTGGAGTATTTAAAAGATGAGGCGGAGAAGAAGAAGGCAACCCCAATAGACTCTTCCCCGGTTGTAGATACAGACCCATTACCTGCAGAGGCACCTTTGCCTACTCCGGCCTCTGGGCCTTCAGGTACATCCAGTGTTGTTCCTTCTGAAACCCCTAGTTCCTCTATTGTTACATTGCCTCGTAGAGCTACTGTTGTTGTTGTTTCTCGGCCCCCGATCACTCATGGTGTACTACTCCGGATGGAGCAGCTAGCCCATTATGCCGATCGTCGTTCTGCCAGGCTTAAGGCCTCCATTTCGGGCATGATTCAGTCAGCCCTCGCTGATGCCGTGACACCCTTGGGTGCTACCATTGATGCCCTTGCGACTAGGATAGCGGTGTGTGAGCGTGGCCAAGCGGCATCAAGGAGGTGAGGGCCCTAAAGGCCGTTATTGTTGTAGTGAGGAGAGATATGGACTAGCTGAAGTCCACCGACATATTCATGATTTTTGGGATGGTGGATATTCCAGATGTGCCAGAGATGCCTCCGGCTACCATCAAAGGTGATATTAGAGTTGATGAGGTAGCTGACCCTGAGTTCGAGGCTTAGACAGATGAGAAAATGCTTGAGGTTGCTGAGGAGGCATATTATAAAGGCCTTAAGGATATTGAGGAGCCCATGGTCGATGCAGTTGTGCAGGATTCTTTGGTAGATACACCCTTAGCTGACCCTAGTGGACATACTATTTCTGAGGTGACTCCGGGTACTGATACCCAGGTTCAGAGCACTACACCAGGCATTGATACCCAGACAGATGGAGTGACTAGTTAGACAGGATCCCTCTTTACCTCCCTCTCTATCTTATTTTTGTTTGACTTTTGGATATTTTATTGCTAGCATTAAGGACAAATAGCTTTTGTTTTATGGTGGGGTGAGGCCCACTGTTTATGACTATTTTTTTGTCTATATATTTGGGCTTTTAAGCTATAAATTGTGTTGATACTGCATTTACTGGATGATTGAGCTTATGGCTCCTTCTTTTTAATTGTAAATGATTTTTGGACCCTTCCGAAAAATTTTGTGCCACCTCTTGTTTGTGTTTGAATGTGGTTGTTCTCTTGTGAATTTGAGTATCGGTCTTGATCAATACCGATGACTTGAATAGTGCTCCTAATCGAACAAAAATGAATGTGCGGCTACGATGAGGCCAAATGAAGTTTCATAGACAATATGTGAACTTTTTACATCTCGTTGTGACTAACCAATTATCAAATTGAGTCTTTTGTGATGAACATTGCACACTAGCGAAAGTGTGGAGTCTTGTTTGACATTGGTGTCAATGCCTTGTATGATCAACTTACTGTGAACCATGAGTGATGACACCTAGAATTTGCCCCGTTGGTCCGGTTGACTCAGTGATGCAGCTATTGAGATGATCTTAGGCAACTTTGAAGAGTGTGAAACAATTTGACATTATACCTCTTTTTGTGGCCTACCTTGTGAGTGTGTGAACTTCGCTTGAACACCTTTTGAGCCTTAACCTTTTCTTGGAAGAAACTTGATGAAATTGTGACCTTTCTTTATCCATTACCCATAATCCACATGATTTGTTGTTTGTTTAAATAGCCAACTAAGGCCAAAAGCCTAAGTTGGGGGTGTGGTGAAAAGAGAAGGTAAATCAAAAAATGCAAAGAAGTCCCCTTGACCCATGATTTTGAGAAATATGGAACCTCTCAATACAAAAAAAAAGAAAAAGAAGATAAAGAATGAAAAAGAAAAAGAATGAAAAAGTTGTGGAGTAAAGTTGTGAAGGTGCAAAGAAAATCGGGTGTCCGACAATCCATGGAAGATGAATAATGGGGTGACTTTTGAGCATGAATGAGAATGATGAACAAAAGGAAAGAAAGTGTTGTTCATACCACATTTCATAAGGATTACAACCATTGAGCCTAAATTACTATACCTTTGCACTCATCCCCGTTACAAGCCTTGAAAAGACCTTTTTCATCTTGAGTGAGCTGAAACAATTGTTGATTGGAAATAAGGGTAAACTTATGGGTGAAATCATGCATTGTGTTCAGCTTTGTGAGTGTGAGTGTTGCATTTGATTCCAGAGCTTTAAATTGTTGAACCATTGTGTGTGAATATGGAATCATTCTTTGTGTGAGGGCATTTGAGTACCTTTGTTGAGCTTGAACTTGCATTTGAAGCAAGTATTGTGAACTTGAGAATCTTTGATAATGGTGAGTCACAACTTGAATCTTTGAGTGCACAATTGATTCTTGCATGAGTAAGTTGAGTCTTTTTGTGTACATTCATGATTGAGTCTTGTGTAACACTGTTTGACACATCTTTTTTGAACTCCTGAACT